CCAGTCACAGATAGACTGCAATTCACTCAGTTGCTCTACCCCCTTATATTCTCCCAACCCCTTCCCAAAATATCTCATCCTCTGAACCACCTAAACCACCCATAATCACTACTTCATTTACTTCTCTCCTTTCCCTTTTCATTACCATACTCTCCTACAACACCCTCTAATTTGATATCTAACACCCTCCCCTCTTCCGAGATTCTTCTCTTACTCTTCAACAGCAATCTCTATTCTTCCTTGAACATTTTTCCTATGCCTTCCCCAGTGACAGATACACTATAATTCACTAAATCGCCCTACCCTCCCCTTTATACTAATTTCTGCTCTAATTCATTTGCTCCCCTATTTCCCCTTTTCACTACCCTACTATCCTAAAAAGTTCTTAAACCTTTGACATCTGACACATTTTATCATAATCTTTAACTCTCCTTTGCCCTTCCTGACGCAAAACTTTACCATAGTGCTACATGACCTTTTGATGGCTAGCACATTTGTTTTTCAATCATTAATTAATTAATTAATTGGCCACTAGCATTTAGTTAGTCGATCCTTTTTACTGCCACCAGATATTTTGGCCTCCTATTCCACAACATTTCATTAAATGCTCTTCAGTACCGGGACTTATTATGTTAGATCAATAAATGATTAATTATCTTCAATAATTATGGTGTACTTTAGATAGCTTATATTACAAAAGTGACAATTCTATTAATTAGTGTAATTCAAGAATTTATTTAAACTTTTATGAACATCAAAACATTTATTGTTGATAATTCATTGTAATAAAATGTAATGTAATAAAATCACAATATCAAAGATTATATCAAACAAAAACGTACAAATCATTCTTTAGGCTCATGACACTATGTATACAACTAGACAGTTATGATTCATTGTTATATAATTATCAGGCAGGAAACTTAACAAAATCAAAAACATTCAAAATTATGATATATCTTGATCAGCCAAATATCAAACAAAATAGTAATCATTGTGTAAGCAGTTAATTATTTTATATCTCAAGTTAACAAATCAATTAGATATTACACCAAAGAATAATGATCGCAAGAGAAGAATATACTTGCATTAAATAGACATGCTCTGTGAATTGAATATTATTCCAAAATAATAAAAAAATAATTATAACAAGACAAACAAGCTGTATTTTTACATTATTACATAAATCAACTATCAAGCAAGTAAGATTAATCATCCTGACAAAATCAAATACTTGATAGAAAAATCAATCTAACACACTCAGTCAACAACAGGACTTGTCACTGCCTGCACACTACTGTTGAGCTATCCATCTTAGAAAACACTTTATTATTTGAGTACAAATTAACCTAACTATTTCCATTAACTGTTAGTAAAGATACATCTAACACACTATTGCCACATTAGTTGAATTTAATAATCAAGTTATTTCATTATATGTTCGTAAAAATCTTCACTTTTCTTCCTAACCTTCATTATGTTACGGAATAAGTCTCCCCTATTACTGTTTCCCATTTCTAATTCCTGTCCTTTATGGTCCATCACAATAGTACACTATATTACTTCAAACTGGTTTATCTGGGATTAGCCACCAAAAGGAACATGGCTAGTGGATGCTACTCCAAAACCTAGTCTACAGTCTCTGCCACTGACAATCTTTTTATTTTCAATGTGGGGCTCATCCGGTCACACTCTGTGGTGGTATCACTTATCCATTTCTTATAGTTGGAATGTTACATGTATCAGGACTTTTCTGTCAACATATTTTTAACACTATCTTTCACTTTTCACTTTTTCTACCTGCTATCAGACTTAAATTCTTGTTCCCAGACTGATACACTTTACTCTACATTGCAGTTGATTGGAACAGCTTGTTATTTTGCACTTGTGATTTCTTTTTTGTTTCTGTTGGTCCATCATATGGTGTCACCTTTTGTCACATGATGTTTTCGCTGCTTCGGGTCGTGGTGCCTCTATTGTTTGTAACTGCTTCCTTTCCTGTTGCCTGCTCAAGTCCTCACAAAATCATTTTATTTCTGACATCTCGTCCCAGCTTTTTTGTTAGGCCCGTACAAATGGCATCCGCTTTGCCCACTTTTTCGTGTGATGATTAACGCCTTCGTGTGTCTACGACACACATACCTGGCAAGAGTTTATTTAGAATTAGTATACTGTGAGTTGCTATCATATTAGTTTTTTTGTTATTTTTCCCACAGAAAAGAAATACTTGGAAGAGGCCCATTCTCTGCACAAAGAAGCACTTGCCATGGCCATGCGTGCTTTTGGGGAAATGAACGTCCAGACGGCTAAGCACTACGGCAACCTTGGCAGACTCTTCCAGTCAATGAGGCTCTTCCAGGTTGGAGTCTGCAGTTGCTTTTTTCTCTATTGTCCTTGTCTTTTCTTTCTCATTGTACTTCCTTTCATTTCATTCCTGCCTTTTCCTCTCCTGATCTAATTCTTTACTTTGTATATGTTTATATATTTTTTCTTTGTTTCTTTCTTTCTATCTTTCTCCCTTCTTTTCTCTTCTCTTTTCTCTTTTTTCTATATATTTTTTCTTTTTTTGTCTTTTCTCTTTTGTTTTCTCTTCTTTTGGGTGTCTCACTTATTTCTTCAGAATTTAAAAATCTGCCTTTGACACTTTATGTTGCAGTGTTCTTTCCACTAAAGTAAAGCAGTTGCATATTCAAGCTAAGTTGTGAGTTGTGGATGGTACCTAAAGAAGCAAAATAGCAAAACTAATAAAAATCAGTTTGAAGTTTTTACACTTAAAAAGGCATTTTGTTTATTACCTCTGCTAAGGAAGTTAGGTTTTTGGTAGCTTTGGTTAGCAAGATGATTTAAGGGGACCGTCCCTGAGAGAGGGGGGGGGGAGG